TATATATATATATATATATATATAAACTTGAAACTTACGAATGTTTGGTAGGGTCAAATTTCCGTTTTTTTCTCACACACTTCCCTTACTTTTTTCTGCTCCAAACTGAATTCTATACCTTGAGTCTAAATTCAATAAAATTTTCTATTCACACACACACACTCCACTTCTTGTAAACCACAGAAAATCTGCAAGCAGGCCCCTCTTCTCTCCTTGGTTTGGCTAGTTGTTTCTTTTCTTCCTTTGCATACAGAGGATGCTGTACTTTGCCCTTCCTTCACTCGCGCGTTAGTGCTTCAATCCTTATTCTCCTTCCCACTACTCACCGCACTAGAGTTGCTCAATGCCTCTTCCTTCAGCTTCAATCAAAAGTTTCATCATTCTCACTGAGCTCTATAATCACTTCTCCCCCTATTAGACGACATCGTCGTTAGACGATGAACAACTCAGAGCTTCGATTAATGCATGGGGAAGCCCTAGCTTGCACCCGTCAATCTCATGCCTTCGTACGTGACCTTCGACTCTCCAAGTAAGTTGATCTTGCTCCTGCCTCTTATACGCGTAGTTTTATCGAACAAAAGTACCCTATGAGTTCCTGACCCCTCACTTCATTCCCCTCTTTTCAACAACCTCGAGGAGATTAAATGAGACGTCATAATCTTCTCCACTCAAAAAAAATTTCTTTCTTGAAATTTTAAAACATAATGCAATGTCACCGGACTAGAGTTGCTCGATGCCTCTTCCTTCTGCTTCAATCAAAAGTTTCATCATTCTCACTGAGCTCTATAATCACTTCTCCCCCTATTAGACGGCATCGTCGTTAGACAATGAACAACTCAAAGCTTCGATTAATGCATGGGGAAGCTCTAGCTTGCGCTTGTCAATCTCATGCCTTCGTACGTGAAGTTCGACTCTCCAAGTAAGTTGATCTTGCTCCTGCCTCTTATACGCGTAGTTTTATCGAACAAAAGTACCCTATGAGTTCCTGACCCCTCACTTCATTCCCCTCTTTTCAACAACCTCGAGGAGATTAAATGAGACGTCATAATCTTCTCCACTCAAAAAAAATTTCTTTCTTGAAATTTTAAAACATAATGCAATGTCACCGCACTAGAGTTGCTCGATGCCTCTTCCTTCAGCTTCAATCAAAAGTTTCATCATTCTCACTGAGCTCTATAATCACTTCTCCCCCTATTAGACGACATCGTCGTTAGACGATGAACAACTCAGAGCTTCGATTAATGCATGGGGAAGCCCTAGCTTGCACCCGTCAATCTCATGCCTTCGTACGTGACCTTCGACTCTCCAAGTAAGTTGATCTTGCTCCTGCCTCTTATACGCGTAGTTTTATCGAACAAAAGTACCCTATGAGTTCCTGACCCCTCACTTCATTCCCCTCTTTTCAACAACCTCGAGGAGATTAAATGAGACGCCATTATCTTCTCCACTCAAAAAAAATATTCTCCTTCCCACTACTCACCGCACTAGAGTTGCTCAATGCCTCTTCCTTCAGCTTCAATCAAAAGTTTCATCATTCTCACTGAGCTCTATAATCACTTCTCCCCCTATTAGACGGCATCGTCGTTAGACGATGAACAACTCAGAGCTTCGATTAATGCATGGGGAAGCCCTAGCTTGCGCCCGTCAATCTCATGCCTTCGTACGTGACGTTCGACTCTCCAAGTAAGTTGATCTTGCTCCTGCCTCTTATACGCGTAGTTTTATCGAACGAAAGTACCCTATGAGTTCCTGACCCCTCACTTTATTCCCCTCTTTTCAACAACCTTGAGGAGATTAAATGAGATGCCATAATCTTCTCCACTCAAAAAAAAATTTCTTTCTTGAAATTTTAAAACATAATGCAATGTCACCGCACTAGAGTTGCTCGACGCCTCTTCCTTTTTCTTCAATCAAAAGTTTCATCATTCTCACTGAGCTCTATAATCACTTCTCCCCCTATTAGACGGCATCGTCGTTAGACGATGAACAACTAAGAGCTTCGATTAATGCATGGGGAAGCCCTAGCTTGCGCCCGTCAATCTCATGCCTTCGTACGTGACGTACGACTCTCCAAGTAAGTTGATCTTGCCCCTGCCTCTTATACGCGTAGTTTTATCGAATGAAAGTACCCTATGAGTTTCGGTCCCCTCACTTCATTCCTATCTTTTCAACAACCTCGAGGAGATTAAATGAGACGTCATAATCTTCTCCACTAAAAAAAATCTCTTTCTCGAAATTTTAAAACATAATACAAGTCATCTCTCATTAAGCATGTCAACAATAATTATCCATAAATTTCATGATAAAACTAGGGGTTACTCATAAAGATAAAAGTGATCACTGTAAAGTAAAAACCTGATACAAGGCTGCTCAACCATACCCCTCTCATCAATAAAATCATGATATTAACATATTTAAACTAACACAATTATTGAAGCAAGCAACACATTAGAAAAACACCCTTATATGCAAGAAAATGCCAAACTCATCAAACCCTATCACCATCAGTCATAGCAGGTTCTTCAGGCTCACTATTAGTGAGTGAATAAATTCGAGGTTGAACATGTTATCTTGTTTGAGCTTGTGTAGGAGCTGAAACTATAGACTCTATTCTTCTTTGCCTACCTGCAGTCTTATGTGAAGGAGCTCCACTGGACTTCTGATCCTCAATGCGCTTTTGGCTAAACAATGGACGATATCTTGCAATATGACTAGGATGACGACACCAGTAACATGTGTTACCCATCGAGCACGTACCCTTATATTTCTTCAATGTTTAACATAAGTGACTATAATACTCTTGAGTCGTACCTCTGCTAATTCCACCCAAATTGAACTTGGACTTGTTCTCATTGGATTCATCTAATTGATCTACATTTCCTCCATCAATACTTTTCCTCTTGTGCTTCTCCTTATGTTTCTGAGTAAGCTAATAATCGGTCACCACTCTTCTAGCTCGTTTCACAAATACTGATTATTCATTGATCTCCAAAGACACCAACTACCGTCTAATCAAATCCTTTAATCTCGAAAGGAATATGTAACATTTTTCTTCTACAGTAGCGATCAACTGTGGTGTATACCTTGAGAATGCAGTAAATTCTACTTTGATTTCATGACTGTCTTCTTTCCTTGTACCATTCTGATAAATTTGCCTCACATTTATCTTCGAACAAATAGGAGTACAAACCACTCTCTGAATAGCTCCACGAACTCCTCCCAACTAATCATGTTGGGTATGTCTCATAGCTTGTCCTGATGCAGCCAACACCACCACCTTTCAATTTCTTCATCCAACACAAATATAGCTAATGACACTCTTCTTTTATTCAGATAGGTC